TATAAAAGTTATGTGAACATTCTTGTATTTTAAATAATATTACCACAATAATTTATACAAAAAAGGAGTTATAGGTTTGGAGGATGGTTCTAGACCAGATTCACCACGAGGGCCAAGGTAGTCAGTGTTTTTTGAAACAAACAAACAAAAACAGAGCAATATTTTATCATTTGATATAATAAGTGAGCCAAAGATCCAGGTTGCAGATCCCTGGCAGATGGAAAGTGTGATCCTATACAGCGGCTAAAAGTGCAGCACTGTAATTTTTAATTCATTGTTAAAGCAAAATTGTGAAGGTTAAAAAAATCCACCACTGAGTATTAACATAAGACATGTATTTTGTATAACTTTCCTGGTTCCCCGTTGGCCCCCATCTAGAACCGCTGCAGGTCTGTGTCTGGTGCATTAATGACCAATGAACAGTCCTCTGAAAACTGTCATGTGTGAGTGAGAGGCAGGATCCAGTTAATCTCTGTTTTGAGTCCAAGGTTGCGTTCACACTGCAGCCTGAAGTGATTTTTTGGCAATTCCGATTTTTTTGCCGGGGCCGTTCACACTGCCAGTAAATGCGACCTGTATGCGTTCTGCGACCTGAAAGTGTCCCGCATGTGCAGTAGAGGGCGCCATAGCGTCAGCGTTCTCAGTGTTCTGCCAACTGCCATAAAAAGAAGAAGTGCTCAGTGTTTGCGGAAGTAAACATGGAGGCTAACGGTGGAGCTTAGCTTACACATTTGAAGTTGTTGTCCGGCCGGAGCCGCATATTAACGACTTAATCCTCATATAATCCGTCATGGTTGTTGTTTTTCTTCCCACTTGCGCTTATCAGGACGCAGAATACTGAGATTTGTTGAGAAACAGAGACGTTCAGTTCTGATGAATGCGACCTGGACGTTAGGTCGCATTTGAATCGGATACGTGTCGGATATGGGTCAGATTCGAAAAAGAATCCGACCTGTGCTGTTCACACTGCCATGAAAAGATCGGATACAGGTCGCATTACGCCAAAAAAATCGGAATTGGGTCACTTCAGGCTGCAGTGTGAACGCACCCTAAGTGACACTCAAAGTTTGAGTGTCTCAGATTAAAACAAATCAAATGTTTTAAATTTGTTTTGATTTGGGCTTGTTTTCACTAATTATGTTGCTATGGTTACTCGAAATACCAACAGAAGTAAAAGCCCACCTCACAGGGTTGAGCCGCATGTTTTGATATGTATGTTGTGGGGGTGCATGCTGTGGTTCAGGCAGAATAACAGAGGCCTGCCATAACAATGCATTGCTATGACAGGGCCCAATAAATAAAGGAATATTCAGGAATTAGTGACTTAAAACAAGCTTCTATATCTTGCTGGAATGTTATTTTTTGTAATTTAGTTTTTCTTATTTCAATTGTTCTAAAATATTTGCTCTAAAAATACTTGGTAAGATTTTGCGTTTGGACTCAGCTGAACCTTCAGAGTCACATAAAGGCAGGTACAAAAACAGTCTTCTGTCATCTGAAACACGTTTCCAGGATTAAAGGACCTGGAGAAACTCACCCATGCATTTATTTTTACTCACAATGATTACTGCAACAATCAATGTGTCAATTTTATTTTGAGATTTTATGATGTAAAGCACTGAGAACTGCCTTGCTAGTAAAATGTGCTTTACAAATAAACCTGCCAATAATCATCAACTATAGCCAGATTCAGTAAATTAGAATGTTAGTGAAAGGTTTATGTATTTCAGTAACTTGGCTCACAACACATTGTACAGATTAATTCCCCACAGATTGACGTTTTAAAGCCTTTTTAAAGAGACTGTTAAATTACAAAGTCACATTTTTCAAAGTCATATTAGATATAAAAGGTACAAAGGTTTACACTATGCTGTAAAAGTAAACTATGGGACTGGAAAGCGCATAATACTTCCCCTTTAATGCGGAAATGTAGGTTTAATGAAAATATGTTTAAAACCTGCTTAAAGGTTGTTTTCAAAGGTGTTTTTAATCCAACAGAAACTGAACAGCTGCGTTCAGACTGAGGCTGAATTGCGCCCAGGTGGACTAATTAGGCGACTAATGAGGGAGGAAATCCCATCGCTTCTTTATTTTATACCTGCCTCTGTTGTTTCACCTTCACCATCCTGGTTCTCCTTTTCTCTGGTAAATATTCTTGCAGCTCTTTGTCTTCATTATTGCTCAGCTGCCAGTGGGATTTCTACCCTCTTCTTCTTTAAATTGATACAAAACGAAGCAAAATTCACTGCATAAATGGGAGGAAACCATCTGGAAATCATAAGCAAATCAAGGTCAAAGTTCACTCTTACTGTTCTGTAACATCCCAAACTTTACAGCAGCCCACATCAAACACATTAAATGGTTAAAAATTAAACATTTTGCTGAGCATCATCTGTTCCTAAACACACATGTTGCCATGGAAACCGTTTCCTGGTTTGCTGTTGCCCTCCAGAAAAATATTCACTTTACCATACTGGTGTTTTGTTGCTTCAGGGTTACAGTTACAATTTAAAAGATTTCCATTATTTAGTGAAGAAATAAAATGCATTAACATGTTTTTTATTTAAGTGTAAGTTTATTTTTTCAGATGGAAAAGGGGGAGGAAATTTTTTTCCGTTGGAAAACTGGACAAAAATCCAAAACAATCCATCCAGTCTGACCTCTGGAGGGCGAGAAGAAAACCAAAAACAGAAAAAATAAATTTTTTCTAAGCAGGAAAGGCAAGTTTATTAATACAGCAATATTCATACGCAATGTAATCCAAACAGGAGGAAAAATAACAAAGCATTAAAGAAAATGTTTTATATTACACATATTAAATTAAATAATGTCTGAAACTTTCATTAGACAGGTCATTTCTATTTAAATATTACTATTTCTATATTTTTGTCTGAATGACTGCATCAGTTAAATCAGATTAAACTCTTCTACAAGCTAATCCATCATCTGACTCCCCAGTACCCACCGTTCAACCAATAGGGGGCAGCACTGAGACGGTTTTACACAAAATATGGCAGAATTAAATAAAATTTACACAAAAATCTCAGAATTTGAACTGTAATGCAAAGATAGCACCTATAAAGACAATTTTAGAAAGTTTACCTGCAAAAAGGTTGATTTGAGGTTTAGTTGCTCTTTATTTTTTTCTAATAAATGATACACTCGGTCCTGTCTTTCAGTGTTTAACTCTCTCTCTTAAGTTCAGTTTATTAGTCAGATTAGTTTGCAAAAGTTTCTAACTCAGTGCAACATGCTGGGTTCCTTAATTAGAAAACTTTGTAACTAATTTGAATAATAAACTGAACTTGGTGCGTTTTGTGCAGTAGGTTTGGAATCTGCCTGTATAATTGGATTGAAATTTACTTTTTTTGTAAAGTGCTTTGAGCCATTTGCTGTGAAATGCTGTGATATGAATGAACTGAATTGTATCTCTATGATCTCTCTCTGTTTGTTTGCCGCTAGTGATATTTAAATCTTTTCATTTTTCAGGTAACGTTGTGGGAAGCTAGCTGCAGGAATCAGCTCAGTGGTTCTTCATGCTTCCAGCTGCTGTTTGAAGTTCAAACATGGAGAACCGTTGAGGCGAACGCGCCTGTTTGGATTCCTAATTCTGCAGTTTTAGTTCAGAGTGAAAGATGAAATTATCATTTGATCCTCTGCAGGTTTTCAAAACAAATAAATGTGACTTCAGATGAGCAGGATGCAGAAACCGCTGCTGCTGACCGTCAAAAAACAAATGCACTCAAGAAAAAGTAGAAAAATTAAGAAACCCAATACATTACTCAAGCAAGAGTAAAACATATTTAATTAAACAGATGCTGAAGTAACTGAGTAACTGCATATTCGTAACACCTGAAGCAACATTTAGAAATGTTGTAATCTGACTGACAAAAATATTAAATTGGCCGTTTACTGGGTGCAAATTCTGGTATTTCAAAGACAAAATAATGCAAATAAATATTTAAAAAACTATGACAAGATTTAAATCAAACACAAGAATAAAATCATAAAATTAAGAGAATAAAGTTGAAATTTTATGAGAATAAGGACATATTATCTTGACTTTATTCTTGCAATATTATGGCCTTTTTTTTTACAAGAAATAAAATAAAATGACAATAAAGTAAAAAATTGAAAGAATACAGTCAAAATAATATGAAAACAAAGACATGCTATTTAGAGAATAAAGTCATTACAAGAATCAAATTTAAGAGAATAAAGTTGTAATATTAAAACTTTATTATTGTAATACAATATATAATATATTGTATTTATTATTGTAATATGACTTTATTCCCATATTATTATGACTATCCTTGTATTATTTTTGACTTTATTCTCTTACAACTTTATTATTGTCATATTATGAGTTTATTATCCTATTATTTCGACTTTAATAATTTCACGACATCATTGTATTTTTTTTATTTTATCAATCAATCAATCAAATTTTATTTGTATAGCACATTTCAGCAGCAAGGCATTTCAAAGTGCTTTACATAATAAAAAAACAGGATGTGACATTGAATAAACAGTAAGAAAGAGAAAGAGATTTTAAAAAAGATTTAAAAAGATTAAAAAAGATAAAAAACATTAAAACCCCTTTTAGGACTTCAGTTAAATGTCGTTTAATTGGGACTCTAGTTAAAAATTTTACATTTTCTAAATGTTTTTATATTTATATATATGTATATAGTGATGAATGGTATTTTCCTTATGTTCACTTGACCTCCAAGCGCCTCAGCAGACAGAAAACAAGATTGGAACAACAAAGATGGTGTATAAACAAGAGGTCTCACTTCAGCATAAACTGCTGAAAACAATTTTTTTTTGTTTAAAATGTGTTTTTTCTTCATTCTCTGAAGTTACTCATAACTTCAGTGATTCTGTTTCTGATTAAGTTTCTGGATATTCCATATCCAGAAACTTAAAGTACGTTTTTCCAAAACAGATATTCAAGTGAATGTAACTGAGTAAATGTAACTAGTAACTACCAGATCCAGACCTGCTGCTTAAACTCCTGCCCTCCGTCTCCAGGCCGCAGGCGTCCACTCTGACCGTTTCCCTCTCGCTCTCCAGCTCCCCCTGCCGCTCAGCGTGACTTCCCAGAATCCCCTGTGGCGTGAGAAGAGAAGCAGCTCTGGTTTCTGATTGCACCTCAGCGTCTGAGTGGAGGTAAAGATCTGACACTGATCACTTCCTGCTGTGCTCTCACCTTCTTCCTCCCCACTTTATTCTGCCTGCCTTTTCTCCTTCACTCTGTTTTCATTTCGATATTCAGAACAGGATGGACAAACTGCAGACCTTCTAGCACATTAAAGCTGCAGTACGTTTTATAAAAAAAATATGTTCTTTATGTATTTGCTAAAACATTCACTGTATTGTGATGGTATGATACGAGACAGATAATCTCTGAAAAAATCAATCTCCTCTATCTCGTCCTTGAACTATTCCTGAGGAAATGAACCAAAATCAACCAATCAGAGCCAAGAGGCGGGTCTTAACGCTGTCAATCAACCTTATGAACGTGCTCACAGATGAAATCACAAAGTGCTTCACAAAACATGTAGGAAAAACACATCAAACATAACATGAAATTAAATTAAAAGCCTGTGTGTACAAATAAGATTTTAGCTGCGTTTTAAAATGATGTGTGGAATCGGTGCAACGTAAAAACAGTGCGAGAGAATTCAGATGGTAACAGCTTGAAATGACCGATCTCTTTTCTATGGTTTCCAGGATATAAACTGTCCTTTTCTACAGTTTCCAGCATTTAAAATGTCATTTTCTATGGTTTCCCGATGATCCCACGGGTGGAACAATCCCCAGTAATCCTCTCTTATACTGCAGAAGATTAAAGATCATCAAGGTTTGAGTCACTGTAAAGGAATTTCAGGTAAACAACCTCTGCCAGGTGAATCACTACTTCCTGTTTACACAATGTTTCCTGTTTTTCCTGCCAGTCATTTCTTTAACAGACCTGCTAAAAGCTTGTTACAGTAAAAACTATTTAGCTTTTCCTGGGTTGTGGTTTCATTCTGGGTCCAAACTGTGCGGACAGAGCAGACGGAGTGGAATGGTTTAGAGCAACGCTGAATCATGTGTTAAAGTGGCCCAGTCAAAGTCTAGACGTGAATCAAAGTGAGAATCTGTTGTAAAAATATTTTGAGTAGAAGAATCAGTGAAAAGTTGAGTATTTAGATTTGGAAAATCCTTCAGCCTGAACTGCAGAAAAACATTTTGCAAAAAGTTTGATTCTGGAAGGTTGAATATAAATGCACACCACACTTTTCAGAGTTTTCTTTGTGAAATTAAAGTGTTTTTTGTTTTTTTTTATACACTTTCAGCTGAAAACAGACGCATTTACAAACCAATAAATCCAGACATGATTTTTATTTGAGTTTCTCTAAATGTCGGGTTTTAATCTGTATTTCCTCATAAACCATGTAGTTTCCTGTGTCAGGTTGTGGTTGGTATGCACACAGGTGTCTCCTCCGGAGGCGAAGGGCGACTAGAATACAAATACTTCTTAATTAAGGGCTAATTTCCCGCTCCATTGATTCCAGCTCCCACGTTGCTGCGCCGCTCCACTCAGAGGATCAATGAGCACACAGGCTGAACCCCCAAAGTACATACATGTGGATTTGGCTGCAGGCGTTTCTTTTTTATTATTATTATTTCTCTCCTGAAACGAGGATATTTTTAGGTTTCATGGATTTGCTTTGGAGGTGAGTCAGAACGGAGGACGGTTACAGAAACTCAGGATATCAATGAGGAGCGAAGACGCCTCGGGTTTATCAGCGGCTCGGTCGGGTCGATGGTAACGGATCATAATTGCTTCATTATATTTACAAAGTTACAAATTCTAATAAATAAATATCAAGATGATGGAAACAGGTGGAAATAGGTTCAAACAACAACACAGTATTAGGGTCATACTAAGACAAATTAAACAATAAAGAACTAAATAAGTCATGATATTACAAGAATAGGCATAAAGTTGACTACAAAGTTAAATAAAGTTGAATAAATATGAGAATAAAGTGATAATATTACAAAGTCATAAAATTAAGAAAAAAATTATATATGTATATATATATATATATATATATATATATATATATATATATATATAATCAGCACAAACCAGCACAGTTGATAATTTTTTTTATTTTGTAAATATTGGGGTGGGGCTGGTTGACCTTTCATGACCTCTGGAAACTTTTATTAATATCATTAAAATGAATGCAACTGCACAGATGTAGACAACAATTTAGTTTGATTTGGTTAAAGTGGGGAGTCTGGTTGACCTTTTGACCTTTAAACTTTCATTTTTCAAAGCAAAAGCAGCACAAATAAAAAATGCTGCATTTTCTGTGCAGCAAAGTTGTTAGTTTCTGAAAATGGGTGTCAATTGTGTCGGCACCAATGTTGTTGGATTACAGTGAAGTGGGGGGACTGGTTGACCTTTAAACTTTCAATAATATCTTTAGAAAAGCAGCAATAACTAAGTTTTTTGTTGCACAAATGTAGCAGAGGATTGACACCAAATTAGTCTGAAGATGGTGGGGAGTTGACACAAGTTAATAATAGTTGTACAGCAAACCTGTACAATAATTTAAGTACTTTATAATATTGGATTTAATTTGGAAGTGAAGTAAAACTGTTCTGCTTTTGTTGGTTTCAAAGTAAAGCATTTATCACCAGAAACGCTTCACAGTGGTGAAAGTTTGCAGGTTTAATCGTTCAGCCACAGAGCAGCGTCTCATCTCTACTTTATGTGTTTATGTGAAAATCCTTGAAGCCGCTTGCGAACTGGGAACCAACAAAAACAACAGATGGAGATTATTCACAGGAAGCCGAAGCGTTGTCGGCGGGTCAGCGGCCTCTCGCCCACGTTCTGCGGCTCAGCAGAAACGGCTCAAACACTTTTAGATGGAAATAACTGATGAAAAGTGGGATTCACAAAGTTAGAGAATGAAAAGTTTAGCTTTCAGTCCTGATTCTTCAGCGTCTGAGAACCAAAACAAGTCAAACTTCTCCATTTAAGCTCCAACCGCCGACGCCCCGCTCAGCTCTCATTTATCACAGCTTGTTGTGCGGCAGCAGAGAAAGCAATTCTGTAAAAGTTTAAAGGCTTCCCCACCCTGGCAGGTTACAGCTCCATCACTTAGCGGCTGTCCGCCTGGACGCCAGGCCCCCCGCCTGCAGCACCAATCAGGCTGCTGTCCGTAACTGGATGCCACTCATGGTGAAGGAGCCGACCGCTTTAAGAAAAACACTCCATTTAACTCGATTCGCCTCATGTTTTCTCTGATTTTTAATCTTGGGCTGCAGCACGATCAGACCAAACAAATCAAACAGGATCTAAAATCCGTCTTTTGATGCACTTTTAGCCGCTATTTATTGACCAGGTGTTTATAAAATAAGAACAAATCTCAAACTGTTGGGCTCTTGGGTTGTTCCGGGGTTTTGTTTATTGATTTTAGTTTCATTATTATTTTGTTCTTTAGTCTCTTTCTTGTTCCTGCTTTAGTTTGGTCTTTCTTAGAGATTCCAGTTTATGTTTATTTGTTGTGTCTAGTTTTATTATGTTCCTTATATCTGTCATATTTTAGTGTTAGATTCATTTACTGTGTGCTCTCCCTCGCCCCTGTGCCACTTTCTCTCCCTCCTCACACCTGCAACCTGTTTCTAATTAGCAATCTAATCAGTCGTCTGATCCGTGTTGTAATGATCACCAGTATGAAAACAAAACATTCTCCGTCACGTCTTGGTGGTTCCTCTGTGATCTCCCACTGTCTAGTTTTCCTGGATTTCTGTTGTTTGTTCTCCTCTGGCTCCCTGTGCTCCCTTGTTCTTTTCAGTAAATTTTTATTTTATTTTATTTTATTATTTCTTCAGATCCATTTCCTGCCACAGCCTTTCTGCATCTGGCTCGCCTTCAGTCAACATAAATCATGACAAAAATGAAATAAATAAGTTAGCTAATACCTTTTTCCCCCCTGAAGAATACAATAGAATATTTATTCTTATTCTAACAACGAAACACTGTAGAACAAAATTTGTCTACTGGATTTTGCTACTGGTGGAGATGACAAAGAAGACGACAGGAAATGGCAGTGCATGACTTTTAATAACTTATTGCGTGAACAAACTTGTAATTTTAATTGCGTTTCTTATTTAATTGGAACACTGCAGTTGTGATATTGCGTTCTGCGCAATATCACAATGAAAACACAACTTAAATCAGCATAAATAGATTGAAATATTTTAGATTTTTCTATATTTATGCATCAAAAGAAAAGGTGAATAAAAGACTAATAATTATTTATTCAGTTTATTCGTCCAGCTGCAAACAGGAAGTGCTAATCTGTTTTCTGAGTTGGAACAACAGCAGTAAAGCTCATGAATTTGTTGAAGAAAACATCTTGTGTTTTGTTTTCTTGCTGGTAAGTTATTTAATGTCGCTTTCTTCAGGGTTTTATTTGTTCGTTTGTCACCTGGAGCCCAGCAGGAAAGCTTCTCCATCGCTGGGGATGTTCAGTATCTCCGCCGGTGACACGCTTCCTGTCGAGGAATCTGCCCTGGAGTCACTCTCCTTTCATGTTTCTTATCATCTCCTACTTTTCCAGCCAGATCACGACGCAACACGTCAAGCTTATCGCCACCTTCCCCATCTTCAGATGTGTTTATCCGACTCCCCACACCTTAAAGTGGCTTTGTGCTGCTCAGATTTATCTCAAATTAAACTTCTTATCTTGCTGCACACATAGCACTGCAGGAATAGTGGAGAATTTGTCACATATTACAGCTGTCAGCTTTATCTCACTGCAAAAATGATGCAAACTCTGCAGCAGAAATACAGAAGCCCATACATTGAGCCCTGCGGTGACGTGGAGCTTCTCTTGTTTCTGTTGCAGAAACATGCATTCATCATAAAATAAAGATAATTCCTCCAAGTTAAACATATATCAACATTTTATTGACTTCTTATTGACTCGGATTGCAGAAGTGGGCAGATTGATCCAATACTATCCATCCGTCCGTCCGTCCGTCCGTCCATCCATCCATCCATCCATTTTCTTCTGCTTATCCGGGATCGGGTCACGGGGGCAGCAGCTTCATCGTGTGGGAAAATTTATGCTTTAGTTTCAGATTCCTTCCTGATGTTT